GAAAAATTCTCTGAGAGAAAAATATTGGGAAAATTTCCTGAGAAAATAATGTTTAGGAGAAATCAACTGCGAAAAATTCTCTGAGAGACAAATATTGGGAAAATTTCCAGAGAAAATAATGTTTAGGAGAAATCAACTCCGAAAAATTCTCTGAGAGACAAATATTGGGAAAATTTCCAGAGAAAATAATGTTTAGGAGAAATCAACTCCGAAAAATTCTCTGAGAGAAAAATATTGGGAAAATTTCCTGAGAAAATAATGTTTAGCAGAAATCAACTGCGGAAAATTCTCTGAGAGACAAATATTGGCAAAATTTCCAGCAAAAATAATATTTAGGAGAAATTAACTGCGAAAAATTCTCTGAGAGAAAAATATTGGGAAAATTTCCAGCAAAAATAATATTTAGGAGAAATCAACTGCGAAAAATTCTCTGAGAGAAAAATATTGGGACAAAATCAACTTAAGAAAATTTCCTGCGAGAATAGTACTTAGGAGATCAACTCAGAAAAATGCTCTCAAACAAAAATATTGGGAGAAAATCAATTCGAAATAATTTCTTGAGAGAAAAATATTGGGAAAAAATCAAGTCGGAAAAATTCGCTGGAAAAATAATAGTCTGGAAAAGTCAATACGAAAAAATGTTGTGAATATATTTTCCCATGGAGACGACGATCCCTTTCTACAGCTAAAATCCTGAACATTTAAAAATCTGAGACTGTTTCGTGATCTTTAGCGGCACAATGTCCAGGATATTCTGGCCCTTGGTTTTTCTCCTGGTGGGGCTGACCCTAGCTGCCATGCCAGTCCCCCACCAGACAAGTGAGGACACCCTGAGAAGTGCCCTGAACGCAGTTACAAGAAAACAGCGGTCCCTGGGTGCTCTTCCTCAGGATTATTACGGGGACCTGCGATCTTTCAAGTATCACGGCGACCCAGAGCGCAAGTTCGAGAGGGAGGAAGTGCCCGAGATGGATGACGACGAGGATGACCTCGAATTCCTTCCCCTAGGTATTCCCTCCATCAGATCAATTAGTTAGATATTGGGGGAGTGGGGCGGAGGGGGTGAACAAAAGAGAATGTATTGATATTCAAATTCGTGGTATTCTTATTCATCCAGAGAATGGCCAGTTGGAGAATATCGGGGGTGGATACCAAGGGTTCAACAATAAGAGGCTGGAGAGAGCTCTTATGGATTATCTCGAGATGACACCCATTCAGGTGAGTGGAATTCAAGATGATTCTATTAGTTATCGACCAGTTTAGAGTATCCATGTTTCTCTGTCTAGAATATCTCGATAACTCTTCAAGACTCAGCGAAAGGTGTTGGACTTAACATTTAGAAAATTCCATACCCAACAAAATGGTTTTTTAATGAAGCTCCTACATCTTATAGTTCTCGAGATATTGACGTTTATTCAAGCAGGCGACCTTGAGTTTGTGGAGAGGGCGCCGGCCGCGCGACACGTGAATGTCAATATTTCGAAAACTGGTGACAGCAGTGACGTGAATAAAAAAACCAATTTTCTCGTCATGAAATGTACCACATTTCATATGCAGCATGTCTAGATGAATTCTGAATAGTTCCCGAGATATTTCAATTTGAACTGGATAACGAGTTTTTCTCACTGCAACTCCCACCCACTGTGCGCAGTGATGTACTACGCACTCGTTTCCATTTCCGTTGCAGCGCGAATTTCGAAATTCAATTTTTTTCTTTCAACAGAGAGACACCGGATCCTCGTTTCGCGAACGCGAGAGAATCGGTACCCGAAAACGGACAATGAGCCCCGATCACGCGACTGGGAGTAATAGAGAATTGGCCAGACTGTTCCTGGACGAGCTTCAAAATTCGTCCCCGTATGGAGAAGACCCCGAGGATGCCGAGTACTTGCCAATCGAGGCTTTACAGTCGCTCTACGACAGGTACAGATTGGAGCAGAATAATAAATATGACAAATTGGATTCCCCCGGGCCAATGTCGTGGGGCGAACTCCTCGCTAAGGATCGTTCACGAGAGGACGACGGAGTTGATTTCGCTGACAGGGAGCGCAGTCAACATCCGAGAAATTATTTGCTCTACCAGGTTCTTCCAACCCAGAGGAGAAATATCAATGCAAGGTATCCGATTGGCAGGGAGTATAGAGACCTTGTCAAGCGCTTTCCAGTAGCCAAGAGGAGTACTAAACCCTTTTCTTTGACGTCGCAAGCTACTGACCCTAAGGTACATTTGAAAAATATTGATTATCCACTTCTTCCGAACCTCCCGTACTCTTTGGCCCTCCCTGAAATACCCGCAGGTCTTCGATGATACAAATGAAGGTCTTATGAAGGTCATACCTCTGAAAATTTAATAGAATTGAATACGCAAAACATGAAGTATAACTTATGCTATGATTTCTGTGAATCAAATTTTTAGAAATATCCCTGTAATAAAGGAGACGGTGAAATTTTTGTAATTACCTTTTTTGGGTCTCTCATGTCACTCTATAAAATAGATCCCGATGGCAATGTCGCTATCTCTCTTAGATCCAGATATATTCCTGGAAAACTGGAAGAGCGATTCAAAATAGTTGCCAGTCACTTTCCAAATTTCCTCAATACTATTGACAGTCTGAAAAATTTTCTGAAAAAAAAACTTATTGGGTCAGGTGGTTCAGGACCTGGGTGCCCTGTTCGGCCCCCAGGCCTCGGAGATGAACAAAACGCAAGTGCAGAAGGTGCAATCGAAATCAAATCACGTACACGGAATGGATCATATGCAACCGCATACGTCGGAGCGACCGGTGTCCTTCACCACGGACATTACGTCGACGACATTCCGTCAGGACAATACCAAGGAGAAGGGAACGAAGCCTGGCAAGACCAAGGAGCACCTGATTGAGATAAAGAAGAAGAGTGTGGATTGGTCTCAGTACTTTGGCATCGACAGGAGGCGAAAGAAGGCGTCTCTTCTGGCAAGACCTGGCACCCAGGAGCAGGACGACGAGTGGATGCTCCAGAGGTACTACAAGACCATGGCGGACAATCTTCAATCTCCGCCGAAGGATCTCGAAAGGATTGGAGGGGAGAAGAGGGACAAATTGGATCAGATGGATGAGAAACTGAAGAACGTTAAGAACGTCATCATCGAGGACGCCGTCAGGTACTCGGCTGCTGACGATGACGCCGATCCCCAGGAGGTCAAGGACGTGGTAATGGCCAGAATGGCCGCTGCTTATTCCCTGGAGAAGATGCGAAAGGCTCTCAATGAATTTAGAAATAGCATTGCTGCTCAGAGGGATGTACCCAGGAATTCTCAGGGAAAAAATAATTCCAGTAATGGGAGTAAAGATTCTAATGGGACTGGGGACTATGACAAGAGGTCCAGCAATGCCATTGAGGATGAAGGCTCTCCTTACGAAGGTAATTGCTAATTACGGAACATAAAATTATTCGAAATCCATACGTTAAATATTCGAAATGAGTGATTGATTAATATTTTTATATTTTTTATTTAAGTTCAATAGGAAATCATTACAATAAAAAATGAATTGCAAATATTTTATTAGGGAGTTAATGAACAATTAAAAGGTTGAAGGGGCAGAATTTTTTGAAGGAATCGGGGAAATAGAAATAGATAAATGAATTTTGGTTTTTTAAACTTTATTTTAAACTAGGATTTGATGAGGGAAAGTTCACGAGTTGCCCGGAATTGGAAGCCATTGAGAGGAGCTGCAAACCAGCTAGAAATCTCGTTAGTGGACTCTTTGTACCCTGTATGATGCATCAAATTTGTAGAACATGTGTAAGTACTCGCAATTTATTCTCTCTTCAAATTTTTCCTGAAAATCCAAAATGTGAGGCTGCAAATTATAATAATTTCTTAATTATAAGTTTACGATTGAAGATTTGAAGTGAATCGGTAATTTTTTTTGTTAATGCCAGGACGATGAGGACGAGTGCATGGGCCTGTTCGCGATGGAGGCAGCTCGAGTGTGCGATTCCCTGGAGGAAGAGGGTCGTGATGCTGGTGGACACTGCGCCAGGACAGCTCTGGTCATCTCCCAGATGCAGCCACCCTCGATGATCACATCGCTCTGTCATGGCCCCACCGGGGATTCCTGTCTTCGTCGCTATCAATATCGCAATCGTCATCGTTTCTACCCCTCATCCCGTCGACACAGCGGATTCGACGCCCCAATGAAACGATAAGAAATTACCATAATCACAATAATCGCAATGGGGTATATAATGCCGCTCGACACGACAGCGTCATATCAAATTCAATCTTCCGTCTCTTTGCAACTCATTGTCTGGAGATAAATACAAACATTTAGATCCTTAGGCGTTTAGTCATGTGTCACGACTTATTCCCATTCGTTGACTAAATCCATGAGAATAAAGTGTGAGAAAATTTTTTAAGAAAAACTCTGCACTTTCTGTTTTATTGGAATTTCATTGAAATTGTTTTATTCCATTACTCATTCATCGAGAGATAATTGTTTACATGATTAATTTTTCAATGTTTTCGTCTTGGATTTTATTCAGAGAGATAAATTGAGATTTCCTATTGACTTCTACAGTGAAATATCTTTTAACAGGATTTTCGTAGGGATTGAGCATAATTGTTTACAGAAAGCGCTGGGTTTTTCTATCATTTTTTCCACAGGCGAATGAGAGAATATTTATTCATCTCTAAATCAAATGCAAATATTTATGAGAGAGGAAAAAAACTGGAACATTTTTTGCGAATTCTGGAGAGTATTGAAGAGTGATTCTCTTTCAAGATTATAAACTTCAGATGAAATCTATTGATGACATTATTAATCGTACTGCTTAATCCGTACAGTGTGTACCTGAATGTATAATTGGTTTAGAATATAAGCAGTATATTTTCCTGCCTATCGATATTTTAAGTCACCCTGGAGACTCATGCACTCGAAAAAATTTATCTATTTTCATTTATTCCGAGAGAGAGAGCGCAAGAAAATTTCATACAAAAACCTCACGCATTCGCTTTATTCTACACTGAATTCTATTGGAAATAATCTATTAATTCCTCGGTATCAAATTATAATTATAATTAATCGTAATTAATCATGAAATCGTTCTGGACATTTTTCCACTACAAATATTCAACAGAAAATATTTCACATGAGAAAAAATCACTAGTATTTTATTCTAAAAATTCTCTCTTCAAATATTTTCTATATAAATTATAATATTCTATTGGGGTTTATTTAATAGATCGTCTGGTTAATTAATTGGAGTCATTAATGCAATTTGTAGTGGAATAGTCCGAATGAAAAAATTATTCATTTCAATAATTTCGTTAATCTAAATGATTAATGAAATTTTTTGATTTTTTAGTGAATTCGCAGTGTTTTTAGTGGAATTTTGTCACGCGTATTTATTATTTCACCACGCACCACTCGGCCTAACGAGCCTAATTTCAATCTGACGATTTTTCGGGAATTGATCAACGAAGCAGAGGACAATAACTGTTTTAAAGTATTGAGAAACGACTTGATGTCTCCAATGGGTCTTTGGGTAATTGTCACATAAGGGAAGAACAAATTCAGTCTATGTAGTCGATATTCATTAGAAGATTTTCATTAATTTCACTAGATACCGTTCATTAAGTCTATCCGATATATTCTACCATCTCGTTAATTTATTTTTGAATCAACAATTTATTTAACTTCGCGATCACTATCAGCTGGGGGTGGTAGAGGATGAAAATTCACATTTTTTTGTTTTAGAAAAATATGTAATTGATCGAAAACGAGTGCTTCGAGAGAAAAATGTTGAAAGAACTTTTTTGTAGCTCGTGAAATTCTCGATAAAAAGTTTATTTGAAATTTTTTTCTGACTTCATTCGTTATCGAGAAAATGAAGAATTGAAGGAAACGTTCTCCCAGTCTCATGCTGATAATTTTTTTATAATTTCGTCTGTGTTTAAATATTACTGTAATTTGGAAAAATATAAACATTAAAGCAGGGTTGATAAGGGTACCACAGTGAATTGTATTAATAGAAATCAATGTTTAACAAAATGTTCGATTTTAGAAAAGAAAAAAGACATTTTAATGTGTGGCTACAGCTCAAATGTCCGAGTGCGTGCGTCGTAGTCAGGTGACTAAATTTTCCATTCAATATTGCGTGCCATGTGGACATTAATAAAAAATGTATTTTTTAATTGTATAGTCCGTGGCACCACGTGTCAAATAATTCAATAGAAAAACGGTTTCTATAAAAATTCGATTGAATTTTTGGTGGAAATCTCGTGAGATTTATTGACATTCGATTGAAATTTATTAGAATCAATAAGAAATCTCTTATTGAACAATTTTTTCGATAAATTGAGTACAATTATCAAATTTTGATTTCTATTTTGTGATTTTTTAATAAAAATCATTGACCACACATTTTCAAATTTTTTTTTCCTCTACTTTGTGGTGTTTTGCATTAAATGTTCAATAGAATTTCCAGAGAAGATAAAATGAAAGCCTTTTCTATTGAATTTTTTCATATTCCAGGTTCTCCCATTCTTCGTTCCCCTTTAAAACTAATTTTGTCGTCCCTACCCCCATTACCGTAGCTTGAATAACTATTTATTTTTATAATTAAGAAAAATAGACAAGAAATCGTTGCATTGAACGTTTTGTAAATGTTTCAATATGGTGCATTATACGTTCTACTTAATGTTCTAGAAAATTAAGAAAGATAAATATTTCGAGTATTTACGTGTCCATGGAATTTCACGATAAAAACGTGAAAATCGTGAAACGATTCGAGAAATTCGGATTAAAACGCGAACTGATTGGGGGTAATTAATTTGTTATACACAATCATCGTCAAGGCCTTTGTTTCAACGGAAAGTAATCGTAACTCATGGAGATTTGGTAATCGTTGGGTGAATATTTATGGGGAAATATTAATAAATTTACAGAATTTTACTCGCTATTGCACACGGTCGTTCAACCGATTTATCAAGATCCTTTGTCTTAATATCTTGGAGTATGGAATTATTATATTATATATGAAAGAATATATGTACATGTTACGATTCATGAGACATATGTATTAGCCATCTGTATGTAATAAATATATTTAAACATAATTATCACTTGCAAATTCTTTTGGATGAAAATTGAATTTATTCAATATTTATTTCCTGGGAATTCGTGCATTTTCCGCATTTTTTGAGAATTTCTTTTATTGGAAATCCATAAATTGATGAAAAATCAAGAAAGTTCATGTCATTATGTTATTTTTATTCCAGATTTCCCCAAATTTTCAGGTTTTCCTCAGAATATTCAGAGGAATTTCATAGTGAATATCAATTACTTAATTTTGCAAAATAATGAAATAGAAAAAAAAAATTTAATTCTATTACAAGATGGATGATAATTACTGGATGTTATTGATTGGAAAATTAAGAAGTCTGATCGAATTGTTCGGCGGATAATGAGAAAATTATGAAGATGTCAGAGTTAATGGTCCATCCTCTGGTCATTAATTGTTTCTTCTGGGCCTGAGGCCCTCTGCTTCTCCCTCGAAACGTCTAAAACGAGCAAGGAAAGGGGCTGATAACCCTTCAGAGCCTCCACGTGCAAAAATGCACATTTTACTGTTTCCAAAATTGAAAAAATTAGTTGAGTAATTAATGAATTAGTGATTTCAAAATTTTTACCTCTCAAATCGGTCACTTGTTCGAGGAGCATCTTCAGCTCGACAATGGTTTCATCAATTTTTTTGCAGACGGCTGCGATGTCTTTGTTCATTTTGAAGCTGCTGTTGTCTCAGGAAATTGACAATCATCAGTGAACAATCAATTTTGAGGGATTCGAATCCAATGTCCGGGATTTTCTGTCGGTGCGGCAGATTCGTTTTTGCTGGGAAGTGGCGCCATCTTCTGGAACTCCAGAAATTGCAGAACTTGAAAATTTATGTTTAAATTATACAGGGATTTGCAGAATCCCAGAGTTGAGTGAATTGCAAAAAAATAGGACTCTATTTTTGAGCGACTCTTGATAATTTGAGGGTAACTTAGTTTTTGAGAAAATTCGTGAAGATTAGAGAGAATTCGATTGTTTACTGAATTCTCAAAAATCCAGCTAAACTCAATCATTAAATAACTTCCACACGAGTTTTCAACTAAATTCCCGAAAAAATACATTCCCTCAACTCTCAAAAATTCTGATTAACCCAATTAAAAAAAAAATCAGAACTGAATTTTTAAGTGAATTCTAAAAGTTTCAGAGGAACTCAATATTTGAGTGAATTCCCAAAGATTGAGGGGAATTCCAGGCGAAAAAACGGGGAACCCTTGCCAGCCCGAAAATATCCGAATGAGTTGGGCTCCCCACTTCCCACCAATTGGTCGAGAGGAAGCCGGTGCTTTTGAATTCTATTGGTTGCCGTGTAAATAGTGTACATGGCAACGCGAGGTGCCGGCCCCCGTGGAGAGAACACTTTCCTCACAATCATTCACAATCCGTTGATACCCGCCCCACGGTGCGGATCGTAAATACTCACAACAAAACAAAAATCGCACGATCAACTCGGGATTAACAAAACGAAAACCCCAAGGAGAATAATATAAACAGAGACTCATTCGTTCCTGTTGTTGTTCATCTTCTATTTGTCGTAAAGTGTTTTATTCAGTGCCAGTGCAGTTGTTGTGTTGATGACGAGTCATCGAGATGCTGTGACTATTCATACCGCGAATAATCGACGGGTAGAGTGAGTAAATTAATTAATTGACACTAGAATTATTCATTACTTCTGTTGTGAAGTGGTTGACAAGGGTCGAGCGTGAGTTTTTTGGAAATATATTGGACAATAAGGGAGATACCGAAATTTTGGTTACAACATTTTTTGTAGAGGGAATTGAGGGCTGCAAATTAAGTTATTATAGAAAATTCCATATCTCCCTTATTTCCAGAGATATTTGGAGAGAACAGCAGAAGCTCGTCAAAATAATTGAGTTGTTTTCGTGGAATATTCTGGGAGA